TGGCCAAAAGGGGCCGCTGGCTCAGGTGTCAGGTGCTGGGGATTTGAACCTCGAACCCAGCAGGCTGCAAATGTGAGTGCTTCCCTTGCATCTGTAAAATTGTGGGATATGGATGGGATTGAAAGGAAATACAGTGCAAGAACTGGAATATAAACTCAACTCGAATTTTGTAGCAAAATGATTCCTGGGAACAGTGAAGACTAAACCACTAAGTCTCTGCAGGGACTGCAGCAGTGGTGAGCTGATACTGTATGTTGTGTTGTTCGGGTCCTCAGTGTGGCTGCGTAGCTGCTGCTTATCAAACTTAAGCAATTCAATCTGACTGCCTTTCCCAGCTGTTTCCAGCTGAGATCTTAACTCCTTAAGTCCTGCTGATGTTCTCGCTACGATAGGATGGTGTCTTGCTGCAGCAAGCTGATGTAGATGAAGATTTCAGGTCACTTCCATTCTGTTTCACTCACTGTCCAACCCCCATCCCTGCCCTCTAGGGAAAAAATACAGCAGAATAATTTGGGACGTCTTTTATCCGAGGTGAAATCAATGCGTTTTTATTGATAGATTGCAATCAAACTATTATCACTGCTAACACAAATAATACCAGTAGTGTTAGTCTGCAGTGAAAGAATAGTGTGCACTTGCTGTCCATAAAAAGGTAAATTAGTGAGTACTCACAGTCCATAGAAAGGGCATTACCTTCCTCTCAGGAAAGTGTGTACTCGCTGTCCACAGAAAGGGTGTTATCTTGCTCTCAGAAAAGTGTGTACTCACTGTCCACAGAAAGGGCATTACCTTCCTCTCAGGAAAGTGTGTACTCGCTGTCCACAGAAAGGTGGTGACCTTCCTCTCAGGAAAGTGTGTACTCACTGTCCACAGAAAGGGTGTTATCTTGCTCTCAGGAAAGTGTGAACTCACTGTCCACAGAAAGGTGGTGACCTTCCTCTCAGGAAAGTGTGTACTCGCTGTCCACAGAAAGGGTTTTATCCTCCTCTCAGGAAATTGTGTACTCGCTGTCCAGGGAAGATTGCTATCCTCTGCCAAAAGAAACAATACGGTCACTGGTGTAAAGAATGTGTGTATTCAGGATGTCACCAATGGTTTTCATCACTCACTAAATCAGGACCTGTACTCCACTGCAAACAGCTATACCAGCCCCCACCCCCCAGCACCACAAAAATAACCCTGCTCTTGTGCACGATGAGACTCTGCTCTCAGCGGCCGACCTGTGATTTGGACACGCTTCAATAATCCTGGACGGCAGCAGGCAGGGCTGGCCTGTAACTGTGCCCGACAGCCGGCACACAAGATAAGCAGTGCTCGTCCTTTCTCTGGCTTCTTTTGTCTCACACGTATGAGTCTCCAGACCCTCTTCTTATCTCGCTACATGGGCTACTTACAGGGAAACACTGACCCATGGACCAGCCACGGCCTAGCTGACATCCTCTGTCCTGCTCACACTTTAAATCACGATTTCCTAAGATTCCGCAAAGGATCCCTTTCTACGCATTTCATTAAAAAACCGCCCTTCTCTCAGGACTAAAACTATGCCTTTTTTCTGTAAGTGTGTTGCTTCATGGGTGAATACAATACCCTGGTCATCTACTAGTCAAAATCAATTACATAGAGATTATCGGATTAAAGTGTAACTTTCCTTTTGTATTTTCTGTGCACACGTGTGTGTGTGATGTAAACCAGTTAGACAAATGGGCTGTCTGCTTCTATCGACAAGAGGATGAATTAAAATCTCCATGATAAACAATGTTGCGTTGCTCCCTGGACAGGCTGCCGATTCTGCTTCATGCGTTTTTATCTCTGCTGGGGACTTATCTGTATTTTACACTTTCTAAGGCGGTGTAGAAGAAACCAAGTGGGCAAGAAAATTGCAAAAACTGTTTAAGAATGTTGGTTTGCCCCCATTAAAGAGACTAAGATCCTCATATCCAACCCTGGACCTAATTGTAACCCTGTTGCCTTTTCTTGTCTGCGTGTGTTTGCCAGAGCTGATACCAAAAAAGTCCGTCTTTTGTTCTTCATGACTCAGTCGCATTGAGTTAAACCCGCCTCCACTGGTGCCCAGTCTCTTTCTCCCAGTATATCTACCACCCACCCTATTTGCCATCCTGCTTGCGAAGGTTCTTACTGGCTGTGGGATTCAGAGAGGCTTTTTTCCCCCATCATCATTTGCTTATTAGTGCCAAACTAAAAAGTAGACAAAAAAGCAAGAAAACCCGTAGGGAAAAACCCATAAACACAACAAATATATGTATTACTGACATGTATGTGTTTATCAGATCATTATACAATGTGAGTAAGAAACTGTAGTTTCTAAAAGTGCAAATTAAGGTAAAAGCCATCAGGTTTGTGGCCTGGGCAGCCTTTGAAAAGCCATCATAGTCCCCCCGCCCACACTTATCATGCACCTCCTGAGAGCAGAACTGTCTGCAGGTCAAAGGGTCATTCATGCACAACTGACCCAACATTTGACCTCTATTGAAACTGTAATATATTTTCTTAGTTCTTTCACGTCATGCAGGATTGTAGGGTATACATATCTGACATGATAATGAGGCATTATGTATTATTTCCAAATCTTGTACCAGCACAATGTTCTCCTTAGCAGGGCCTTTTAGAAGAGCCTTTATTGGTTTCGTTCCTGTTTTTTTTGTCTGCAAACCACTGATGACGGCCAGCAGCTCGCACATCATGCCCTTAGAGGTGGAATATTTTGGGGCACTATAATAATCTCCACCATGAGACCTCTGGCCTTCTTTCACAACAAACACGAGACAAGTGGTTGTCAAAGTGAGTAAACTTTACGCTGGCAGAATTTCTTTGCATTTATTTAACACACCAGCGTTTCACTTCCCTCCAAAATGTGGCCAGAATTTTTCAAGACTCAAATGTAGGAGGAAGCCAACCATGAAATGAATAACAGTCAATTAGGAACAACTGGGTCCCAGATGCCTCCTCAGTGCCCAGATTAGTTATGAAAGGGTCATCAGTGATCCCCTGTGTGTATATGCCCTCTCTGGGTCCTGGGAATGGTCTGTACCCCTGTGTTTATAAACCATCCCTGGGCCCTGGAGATGGTCTGTACCCCTGTGTTTATAGTTTATAAACCCTCTCCAAGCCCTCAAGACAGTCTGTACCCCTGTGTTTATAAACCACCTCTGGGCCCTGGAGATGGTCTGTACCCCTATGTTTATAAACCATCCCTGGGCCCTGGAGATGGTCGGTACCTCTGTGTTTATAAATCCTCTCCAAGCCCTGGAGACAGTCTGTACTCCTGTGTTTATAAACCCTCTCCAGGCCCTGCATATGGTCTGTACCCCTGTGTTTATAACCCCCCTCCAGGCCCTGCAGATGGTCTGTACCCCTGTGTTAATAAACTCTCTCTAGGTCCAGGATCCACTGGTTTACACCCCCTCCAAGGTTATTAAGGATTCTGCTATTTTGTTTGCACAGAAGCATTTCATCTCATGACAGATCAAACTGCACGGGAGCCTCACATCCCAATATGTTTATACTGTAGCTGGAGCTTTCTTTGAGATTCCTGAGCTGCGGCCACATGTGGAGCTGGGTCTCAGTGTCCTGCACGCTCAGCTGGGCCTCAGGGTCCAGCATGCTCAGCTGGCTGTCACAGGCTTTTTCATGCAATGATTAGACCTGGATGAACACTAAACTGACAAGTTGATTGCAGTGCTGTCATGCTCCTTATTTTTCTTTTTTATTTGCGTGTGTATGCATGCATGAGCATGTGATGCGACTGTCATTCATCAGCTCTGCTTAATCCACACATGAAGGCTCACCTCTCATTGCTGGCCCCTAATTTGTGGACCACAGAATCAAGCGCAGGCATGGAGGAAGCCCCGTGGGGATCTGGATATAGAAACCACAACAAAGCACCGTGTTAGTGCTCTCCTCCACAGCATCCTGGGGATAATGATGCTGTTCGGCTGGCTTCCTGTGGTATTCGGCTGGGATGAGCGCACTGGCAGGAAGTGGTTCCCATCTTGCACGGCGACATGCTGAGGCGTCTGATGGGACAGAAGCTATGATTTCTGCTCAAGCTGTGGGAGCGAGAGGAACCACAGAAAAGGGTATATGTTGCTGTTCTTGCTGTTGCTTCTGTGGGTGTTTTCACATATGTCTGCTTAAAAAATTTAAGGCTAAGAAAAGTTCACTTGTTAAGCATATAATTTCATTGTTACCAACCTTAGATTACTACTAGTAATACTTACAGCAACTTCCATACATTTCTGTAACCACTTGTCGTATGCAGGGTTGTGGGGGTGTACAGCCAACGGGCACAAGGCAGGGAATAGCTCAGGTTGGGTGGCCAATCCCATCTCAGGGCAGACACACCAGTCACGTACCAATTAACCTCAGCATGTTTTTGGACTGTGGGGGAAAAACCCAGAGGAAACCCCACGACAACACAGGGAGAACATGCTAACTCACAGAATCATGGCGGACACTCGAATCCAGGTCCTAAAGGTGTGAGGCAACACTGCACCACCGTCCCTCCCCCCTAAGATCACATACAGGGCACTAATTTTGACTACAAAATTGATTATATCTACCACTTTTATGTATCTGGTATCACGATAATGAATTCAGTTCTTGCTTACATTTGGTCATTTTTAATTAAAAATCACCCTGCAGTTATTATCCAGGCTAAACGGTTGGTATGTAGAGACACGGATTAGCCTTCACGTTAGATACTAATAGTTTACATCACCAATAGTCCATGCAAGCCAGTTAAACAGGTGATTAGTGTAGCTTGCAACTTCATCAGTGTTAGACTGTGACTTGTTACAACTGTGGGATGTTTAGTATTTGAATAATGGCACCCAGCTTAAGAGTGACAGTAAATCAAAGCTAAGTTATGGGGCTAAGGGTTTGGCTAATTGGGACAATTTAGCTTCTTGTCACCAGATCTGCAAAAATAATCACAGATGCTGTCTGATGCCCACTCTCAAGTAGTCCCGGGTGGTCTAAGCTTTCCATACGCGGGGTGGGGGGGGATGGGGGGGGTTGTGGGACACCATGAGATGTGGAGACAGAGATTAGCTCCTGGAGACTAGTTATGACATAACGGCATAGCGAGCCGATGAGCCACAGCGTGGCATGTGATTGCCCGGCCTGCCACTGCTGCCCCGTGCCGCGGTCGTCCGTGAGACACATCTTCATTTACTAGGCCATCAGCATGTCATTATCGGGCCTGAAAACACGAGCTGAGCGCAGACAGACAGCGGAAAGGCCGCGGAGCTCTTCTCGGATAACGCCGCCCCGCAGACCACAACTCCAATGGGCCCCGATAAGGCCGACTTATCATAAAAGTGACTTCCTGTGATGGATGAATGGGAAGGTCTGGATGAATGGGAATCCTCAGAGCCGGCGAGGTGCCGTCGGCACTCCTTGTGGTGTCCAAGAGCGTTTTTTTGTCAGGGGGAGGGTGTCTTGAAGATTAGGAATGCAGCTCCTTCAGTCAGTGAAGTCCCCCATACCTGTGGCAGAAATTGGCCTTATGTGACCCCCGCTTCCCCGCCCCGTTTGCGTGTCGCTCCAGGCGATTAAGGGAAGCCCTGTCAGTCAGGGGCTCTCTATTCACATTTCTAAACAGACGTTTCCACAGCTCCTTACGCCACAAACATGCTACTACCTCATCCTGCTTTCCAACTCAGTGGCACTTCATGTGCTATAACCACACCCGCACACTAGGGGGCACCAGGCTCCCCTATTCATCACACACCCATTTTTTCAATATCTCCTATGAATATGATTTCATGCTCACATGTATATAAACACAACATCCATACGTGTGGGATCCAGCTAACATGCTGCTGCAGGTGGGTCTGATGCTCTGGTCGATGCAAACTCCGTGTGGATCTGAAAACAAAGACCCGAAAAGCTTATTTCCAAAACCCGGGTACCCCAAGACCCCCCCTTACCCCCAGTAGCCAAGCATTCTGAATCACTAAGCCTCTTACTGCCGGTTATTCACTGAGGGCTTAGCTGAGGTACAAGGAGCCAAACACCGTCTTCATAAGTACCACATGTTCTTCATCCATCGCATGCTGGTTGTTGGGACATGCAGAGCGTGGCTGTGAAGGTTTTGCAAGCTGAGGACAGTGAAAGTAGAAGCCGGGAGGCTTTTAGCTGCACTGCAGCAGGGAGTCTGGCACGCAGCAGAAACCACTGGTCCAGCCACGCGGACGTCCCTCGAGAAGCGCTTACCAACTCGTCCGTGCTGAAGCCCCCGTGCAAGACTCGGTGCCCATTTTCCCCGTCTCCCGCCCGCTGACGCTGAGGAGAAGAATAAAGGGAAGCTTTTGTTCCACTTGGCTTGTTTAAATGCCTGATTGTGCTAATTGATTCCTGAAATGAGCTCATTTATCCTCCTCTTGCACCGGAAGGCGTCTCGAAGGCAGCGGCGCTCGGTCGTGACCCGGAGCATCACTAATGCCGCCTCGCGCTCCTTCACGCTCCCAAATAAAAGCTGCCTGCATTACCTGCACTGTGGATTGGCAGTTTAATAGCAGATCATTTTATCCAAAGTCATTTACAAAGGGCACAGTTCATTCCAGCTAACACATCTAAAAACTTAATGAAGCTATTTTAATGTACATTACTTCATTCAGAAATACAACAGCTCTCCCTTCCTTTTTAATGGAATTTAGAATACAAGACTGGTTTAAGTGGGATGGACAAATAGGAACTGAAGGATCTCAAACTGAAAAGCTTCCCCTGGAAGTCTCAACCGCAGGCCTACAGGAGCCTAACCACCATGTTAGGGGTTTCTGACCCACTACTGCATGGACCCCAGTTCATCCCACATACCTGTTCTACTCTTCCATCATTACAGATGTTTTAGCTAATTATATGCTCATCAAGCCGTTGATTAGCTTCGTCAGGCGTTCTACCAAGAGCTGTTCTGCAATGCCACCAATCGCATGCCGTTCTGGTCTGCAGGGCTGCTTCTGAGTGCCAAAGGTCCATGACTGAAATGAACGTGACCAAGAGAGCTCCACCAGAATGGCGTGTCTCCAAAGAGGCTGGATGTTTAGCTAGGCCTGATGGTTCTCTGGCTGTCGCTGTGGCCTGCACAGCGTGACCCCCCCAGTGCACTCAGGCAAAATATAAACAGGGTCTAACCGCCGTTGTGTTCCATTGGCTTTGCACGCGGGCAGATTAATTTGCACGACCGAGGTGTTATTCAGAAGAGGCTCTGAAGAAGGTAAAGGTTGTGTTGACACTTCTATCCTCCCTGACCGTGACTTGAAAGGGGCTGTGATGTAAACAGACGGGAAGAGAGACAGCTGTTGGTCTGTGTGTGGAGTCACCAGCGGCGTAGCTATGCATGGCTTTCTGCGCCCTGCGCAAGATAGACGACAGGCACATATTTTGCATGGATCCCACAATTCAGTGGCATCCAATAATGGAAAAAAAACCCCTCTTTTGGCCAGTAGGTGGTGCACAGTGGCCAGGCATCAGCCTGCCTCACCCACTGATAAAATATAGAAATGGGGAGCTGACAAGGGAGGAAGAGAGAATGAGAGAGAGAGAGGGAGGGAGGGAGAGAGAGAGCGAGAAACCTATCTTCATTGTTAAAGAAAATGCAATTTTGCTTGTGGCCGAGAGAATTCGTTTTTCCGTTTGCTTTTGCCCTGTTTGTTGTCTCGCGTGACGCCTCGCCTGTTTCTTTGTCTCAGAGGGTCACCCAAAATAACACGGGGAGGGTTTTTAAGGGGCGTATTCACACTCTCGGGCCACACAACCAGCAAATTTGCCTTCAGTCCAAGGGCAGTTTCGTCATGCATTCAGCCCCTAGAAATGATCCTGTAAACAGCGTGAATCTGCATGTAACCCTGTATGTGTACAGCTGATGCTTTTAAAACAATTTACAATCCTGATACATTACTGTGCATTTCAGTGCTCACATAAAGACAAACAAATTGGTCCAATCAAAAGGCATTTTCCCCTATCAGTACTTTGCTCCTCCATTAAATCTTGCTTTTTAAAATGACCACCATCACCATAGTCGCCACCACTGTCATCTTAAAGAAAATGCATAACATGGTACTAAGTGGCCTAATTGGATGATTTTGTGTGTGAAAAGGAGATGGTAGAGCAAGGGAGGAGAGCGAGTGAGAGAGATGGAGAGAGAGGGAGGGAGGGAGGGAGGAGGTGGGGAGGCGCGGCAGAGACACACACGGAGCACCGCCGCGCGGCAGTACGCCGCCTCAGCTGTCACCTGCAGCCACCTCCACCACCGCCGACCCCAGCTCACCGCGACGGGCGGCACCGTGGAAGCTGAGCCCCCGCCTTCCTCCAGAGAGTGCCCCCACACCACCGCCGCCCGCAGCAGCCCGGAAGAGACACTCCCCACCGGACAGGAGCCGCCGGAGCAGGGGCCGAGCGGAGCAGCAGTCGCGTTCAGCCGTCCCGCGTGCGGTCTAGCCGGTGCCCCCCCCCCCCCAGGCGACCAGGGGAGGGAGACAGCGAGAGAGCGGGGCTCACCGGTAGCTCTCCGCACCAGCTGTCATCTGCATTCGCCGGCGAGGCTGCTCACGCCCAGAGAGTGCTGCTGAGGACCGCGCTGGGATTTGCCTGCTCACACACAGCCTGACTGAGCGCCCCGTCTACTCGCGAGCTCCGTCTTCTGGGGGGTGGGACGCTTGTCCCCATATCCACAGCTGGATGGAACCTGCTTACTCTCTCCATCTGCACGCGCTCCCTGTCGATATGATACCCTGAGTGGCTCCCACTGCCGCTACTGGTGGATAAATAAGTTTGCCATTTCGTGGGGAATCACCGACACAGGTAAGTGCTCCGCTGGCGTCCTTCTCCGTGTCTGTGCCTCGCACCTGCCCCTTGCTGCTTTGTCTCTCCATCTGTGCACGAGTGAGTTCTGTGATCTCCATCCGGTCGGAGTGAACATGCTGGCATTGTGGTGGTTCAGGAAATGTGCCTTTTCCATGTGGCCATCGACCAGCTCTGATTGTGTTGCATGGCTTCTTCATTGATATTCATTTCTCATGCAGTGCAGGTCATCACTTGTGTTTTTTTTTTTTTTTTGGCAAGATACCTTGCAGATACTTGGTTTCTAAGTCTTTTCCCGAGATGAAATGAGTTTGAACAAAGGTGTGAAGAGAGTGTAAAACTGGGACAAATTTGAGGCTTGCCCCAAACACGAGGAAAGGCTACGCATTTTTTTTGGTCCTTCTTCTGACAGCTCTTGGATTTGATTAAATCCCACCCCCTTCCCCGGGTAGATCACACAATTTGTGCGAGCAATCGAGCATGCCCGGCTTAGCACACATCCCAAAATAGCCTTTTCAAACCGCTTGCTGTCAGACCACCCTGACTGCTCTGTAATCAGGCATTCTGAGGAGGGGTCCTTCCTATGCCAAGGGCTGCCCTCTGCTCTGTAAGCGGGCATTCTGAGGAGGGGTCCTTCCTATGCCAAGGGCTGCCCTATGCTCTGTAAGCGGGCATTCTGGGCATTTC